TCTGTGCCAACGTACAAATGATGTGTACGCTGCCATTAATTTTGTTTTCTATTTTTTATTGCTTCACTAAAGGTAACTCCGAGGTCCTTCGGAATCGAAAAAGGCTCTTATCGGACGCAGTAGGTAATCTGTATTCTCTCCCTGGAATGCGCCCATAAATCTGGTTTTTTGTAGGTTAGCAAAGCACGAGCTCCACAACCGTTAGAGGATTTGCTTGAGAATAAGGATTTCCTGGGCCGTGGGACTTTTAAGTGACTTTTGGGGTAACAGATAAGAAAGACTATCTGGAAACTAATTCGAGGAATAATAGGGAGTTGGGGTTGACCATTCCTGGCGTGTTTGCCCTAATCAACAGGTCGAACTCAATCCGAAACCTGAAAGATTTTTTAATGACATCAACCGATGGGTCCTGTTACGGAACAGAATTCAGGTCTTACGTTTTCCCCAAACTTAAACTTTAGAAAAGAGACGGAAGGCCTTAATTCTTGAATATTGAACAATTTCGGTAATGGGTTCTCTCAAATACCATGGCTGAAGATAACTCAGCTGTCTGTTCCTCCGATGCAGGTTGGAGATAGGGACGACGATTTGCCCGTTAAGTAGTTTAAAGTGGTAGTGAACATTCGCATCATCTATCGTACTCTCTCCTCCGTCGCTCTTCTGGGTCCAGTGTCAAGCTATATAGGCGGGATCGGATGCAGGTAGTTGGTGCGGCGTGAACCTGCTCCTATGTGTGCCAACATACGCTCATGTGTGCATTTATTATGGGTGCGCATCTCAATAACGTCTGTTGTACCCCAGTGGTCTCCGTGGTCGTCTAGCGTATCTACGGCGTGGCTTGTTGTAGGGGGCGAGCAAGCACCTATACCACTTACTGTGTCTGACAATTTTTAAAAACGGTCGTTCTACTTCAAGGGCGCGCGAGTCGATACGGCATTAAAATATTATTACTTAACAAGAAGGAAAGACAAATCTAATAAATTGCGCAAAATTAAAAAAAACCACGCCTACGCGTTGTCGTCGAAATCTTTTCATGGGTGATAGGAAAAGCAAATGCGATGCCTTATTTTGTCAGATTGGCTCCCCCCATTTTCGCACTCTGATTGTCTATGCGCTCGTGGGCCACCTGGATTCGAGTTCACATTGACAGCTCTTAAGGGTTATTAATTGTGAAAATATGTGTTATGGATTTCGTTTCGGCTCGCAGTTTCAACTCTTTCAGACCGTGTTGTGGGCCCACAGCTACCCAGGATGCCGTATAAGCCTCTGGTATTGGACAAGAGCAATCCGCTACGGGGATTCGTCATCCCCATAAGATCGAGAGCGAATCCCTTCCCCATTGGGATTTCAGGTCACTATTACCTTAACACCCCCTACTGCGCATTCTCCTGCAATGTATGGAATCTTCGTTGTGGTAGTTTCATACCGTACTTCTCTAGAAATTTAACGCACCTGCCTAGCTAGCCGTACGGTGACTTTTTTTCCACTAACTTCGTGAAAGAAGTTTCAGCTGCAGGTTCTGTGTAGCCGTTACCCCTGCAACATAAATTAGCCAGTCACAAGCAACTGACTTATAACTAAGGGGTCGATAACACGTCATTCTTTGTCCAAATGTTCGAATTCACCTCCATGAATATGATTCAGTTAGTACTTCTTGTTCTTTGGTAAGAATCCCAAGACCACCTCAAACAAATTTTTCAATATCGACTGAAAGGAGATCATATTAATGCTATTTTTGAAATGACGTAGATACGGTAGGTTTAAAATTTTGTACAGGGTATGCGCTTCCGGGGCTTTGAGATGGATTTAGGGGATCGTGTTTGTTGGTTATTTCAATGGGTTTTACATCACAATTCGCTGAGGTGGGAAGGTTGGCCACGTTTCCTAGCAAAGTGGTTGCGCGCGGAAGGACTGTGGGGAGCAGATTGGACTTGTTATAGCTGTATTTGACTCCAGAGTGCTGGCGGACTTAGTGCCGGGGCTGGGCGCCTTGTCGGGTTGGTGTTGCTTCGCGCTTTGACTATAAATGTTTAAAAATACACGTTACTCTTGACTATTAAGTAGCATGGATATTGTGAATATCAATGCCGTAACATTTCTTGACTTACTGGGTCGTAGCAGAAACGGAGCATTCGTGTAGACGGTTGTGCATTTTCATGCCACGTGGTGTTTGTCCGACGTATCCACACAGCCGGCAACGGAGCTCAGATGTTCCACACAGCTCCCAGTCCCCGTTGACAAGATTACCACTGCCATTGGATGCACCGTTAAGTCGTATCGAATGCGGCGGTGATTCGCTCTCAGCCACTGAAATAGGTGACGCTGAGGTGGCCTTGAGACCACCGGACAGGGCTATCCCATCACCACTGGCAGGCCTATCGTCAGGTTTGGAACACATACTAGGACAGAGACGGCGACGTTTCGTTACACTGCCACCAGGCGAATGGGATCCATCGCATGTCTTGAGGTTCCCAACAAGCCCTGTCGGGGGAGAGGTCTGCAGAGCTGCACCACTCGAGCCAGCGCTGCTGCAGCTTTCAGTCACCTTTCGACGGCCTTGACAGTAGTACTGTTGGTGAGCCTGGAATAGGAAGTTGCTAATGTTTACGATGTTTTAAAATCGGTTCTTCAGAGTGAACGAAAGAGCAGTGAATTTGCTTTTTTAAAAACCTTTAACTGAAGTCTATAAACAGGAGTGCAGTCGCTCCTGTTAATACCATCAGTGACGGCTTTTCCGCACAGAGAGCCTAGTTGCCTGCAAAAAGCCATATTAATTTTCCATACAACTTGATAAGTTCTGATCATTGCAGGCGGCGAGGTTAATCACATCCTCAATAGGTGAACGCAACCGCCCGCTGTGTTCCTATAGCAAAGCATAGTAGGAGCAATCGGAGGTGGTGATTGGTTTTTTGACAGACGAGGAAAGAGAGCTTGTCTGTGCGAGACTTGGTTTCGAACTTCACATACGTCAGGTTTCCCTGCAGGGTGCTCAGATCTCACTCACGCGATAACGCCATTAAAGCTCCATTTAGAGGGACCCATTGCGGTCTGACTAGTCCTAAAGGAAGACCGAGTCACCTCATCAACTGGCCACCTTCCAAGTGAGGTCTGTCGACACGGTCGTGATAGCTTTCAAGTGCGGTTACGTACTTGTGATCAATCAGATCTGAGTCGACCTATTTGGGAGTGGAAATTTGGAAGTTACTGGAAGTGCTTCGTTGACCTTGTCTCCTTTAGCAGAGGTTTGTTCAGTCCAATGTGTTCTCGTGTGTTCTCGGTGGTCATACTTGCTGGTGGTGGTGATATGCTGGTTTATCTGTCTTTACAACAAGCCGCCTAGTATATGTGCTGGAATAGCCCGTGGGCCACAGCAGGTAACAGCAGACGTTATTTGGGATACGTAATCATAACGAATGCCACACCCGAGGGCGGAGTGATAGAACGCCTAAACGCCGGTTCCCATCTTGTCAGCTACGCACACCCGATCCGGTCCTTTTGACCGTTTCTTTACGCCAGACTCAGGAGGTAGAGGGAACAGATGGTGTGCTAGGTGCTGTGCAAACCTAATTTAAAACCATGAACTGGTTCGCGCACAAGTCACCGTTTCTGCGTCAACTCTGCTAGACGATCGAGCTGTCGGTGTTATCATGAACCTGCGAAGTTTTTCGTCTTCTGTGGCCATTTTAGTGTTCACCTCGGAGGTTGTTAAGTAATACGAGCGGTCAAAATATATTACAGGCATTTATAAAGTGGTATGTGTGCCATTAGACCACTCGCATATCAAAATATATAAATAACTGGTCGGATATGTGTCTGCTCTGTTCTTGTCGTTTTTAGATTAAGCATTCGCTCCTGATAAATCTCCAAATCGGCTGAGGGTAACATAAGTACCAATCGGATATATGAGTTTGTATCATCTCAACTTAAATGACTACTTTCTGTGCATCGCCACTCCGCATCTTAAGGTCGATACAAATCAGAACTCAAAATTGCATCTAATGAGAAGTAGGGTAGTACCTGTTCACTCACTGTAACACAACAAACGTTATTGGAGTATATCATTTACTCTCTAAGAGGTCTGGCTTTAGAATTTCATTGAATTCAGTGTTTCGACCGCCGGCATTAGTTTTAGACCCGACGAGGAGTCGTTAAGAGTTCGAGTATGTGTAATCTAGTTTTTGGCCGAAGCATTAAGCAAAATAGACAATTATTGTGAATTGAAATCGCGACTAAATTTCGCCATCGTCATACAAGAAGTGTTTTATACCTCCGCCTCAATCGCCGGCAAGAGTAGGATTTTTTCTAATCTCGAATAACAGACTGACTCTGCCCATTTTCCAAGTGACGTCTGTCAGACTCAGGCGGATAACTGTCGTGCAAGGGCTGGTATAATGGACGTTTCCTCCATTGTTGACACAGCAGGTGTGCTAGGTGTAAACAAATTTGAATTGGCAGTAGAAGGAAACAAATCAGATCACCAGAGACATCCCTCTTATCGTTATGCCAAGGTGAATGGGGGAGGGGAGTTAGATAAGCTA